ATTACACATCAGCATTCTGCACTTTTCGTAAAAAAATAAATAAATAAATAAATACTGTTAGAATTCAGTACATTTGTTCATTTCTTGACAGCAGACTTGACTTCAAAATAACCTTCAAAAACATTCGTCATCTATACTGAACAAGTCCTAATCATACGTCATTAAAAAATACCTCGGGACCCGCAGAAATTGTTGCGTGTTTTCCGCAACGTTTTATCTTGTGTGTGTGTGGTGTGTGTGTGTTAATATATATATTATATATATATATATAAAAAATATATATTTTATTATATATAATAAAAATATATATATATATATAATATATTTTATAAATATATATAAAATATATTTTTATATATATATATTTATAATATATATTATATATATATTATATAAAAATTAATTATAATAATTTTTATATATATATATAATATATAATATATATATTTTATATATATATATATATATATATATATTATATATTTTATTATATTTTAATAATAAATACATATATATAAAATATAAAATATATATATATATTATATATATATTTTATATATATAAAATATATTTTTAATATATATGTCGTGCCGAATAGACAGAACTTGCGATCTTGGCTTTTAAAAAGCAAAAGCTCATCTTGTCATATAGGACAAATGAAAATTTGTGTATGCAATAATTTCGCCAAAATCATTCTGAACCTAACGAAAAAAATATATTTCACTATGTTTGTTTAGTATTAAATTATTGTAAACAAATCTAAAATATATTTTGTTGGGTTAGGCTAAAATAAACTGTTCTTGTTATAATAAGGTTAGGTAAGTTTTCTAAGATTCTTTTGGTGCAAAATTAAAAATTTTTACATTTAAAATTAATGAAAAAAATATATCTTAAACGTATAAGAGAAAATTTTAAAAAGGACTTAATTTAAATGAGTTATTGCTAATTGACCAGTTTTACTTATTCGGCACGACATATTATATTATATATATATATATATAATATATATAAAATATATATATATATATAATATATATAATGACGTGCCGAACAGGCCCGAACTTGCGACCTTGGCTTAAAAGCAACGCTCATCTTGCAATATAGGACAAGTGAAAATTTGTGTATGCAATAATTATTGTAAACAAATCTAAAATATATTTAGTTTTGGGGTTTTGGCTAAAATAAATTGCGCTTGTTATAATAAGGTTAGGTAAGTTTTCTAAGTTTCTTTTCGTGCAAAATTATAAATTTTTTGCATCAACATTAATGAAAAAAAAAATATCTTTAAAAGTATTTAAAAGAAATTTTAGAAAGGACCTTAATTTTAAATGAGTTTCTTGCTAATTGACCAGTTTTTACATATTCGCATTTACATAAAATATATAAAATATATATAAAAATATATATATACTATATTTTTTATATTTTTATATTTTCGTGCCCGAATAGGCAGAATTGCGATCTTGGCTTTAAAAAGCAACGCTCATCTTGCCATATTAGGACAAGCGAAAATTTGTGGTATGCAATAATTTTGCCAAAATCATTTTCCCAACCTAACGAAAAAAATAATTTTTACTGTGTTTGTTTTGTATTAATTATTTTAAACAAATCTAAATATATTTATTGGGTTAGGCTAAAATAAATTGCGCTTGTTATTATAAGGTTAGGTAAGTTTTCTAAATTCTTTTGGTACAAATTAAAATTTTTTCATTAACATAATTAAAATATTTTGTTAAAGTTAGGAGAAAATTTAGTGGACTATATTTAATGAGTTCTTGCTAATGCCTTTTCATATTGGTGAAAATATATAATATTATTTTAAATATATATTTTTATAATATTTTATAAAATTTATATATTTTATATATTTGCTATTTAAATTTTAAAATTATATAATATATATATATATATATTATATAATATATAAATATATAAAATTTAAAATATATTATATATATATGATATATTAATTATATAATATATATAAATATATATTATATATATAATCATTATATATATATTTTATATTATATATTATAATATATAAATAAAATATATATTATATATATTATATATTATATATATATATAATATATATATATATATATAAAATATATATATATAAATAATATATAATTATATATATATAAAAATATATATATATATATATAATATATATTAAAATATATATATATATTATATATAAATATAAATATATATATATAATAATATTTAAAATATATTAAAATATATTATATATATATATATATATATATATAATATTATATATATATAAAATATATATATATATATATAATATATATATATATAATATATAATATATAAAATAATAAATATATAATATATATATATATATAAATAATAAATAATATAATTATAAATATATTATATAATATATATATAAAAAATTTATATATATTAAAAAAATATATATTATATATTTTAATATTATAAATATATATATAAATATATATAATATAAATATCTAAATAATATATATAATTTTATATTTTAATTATATCTTAATATATAATAATATATTTTATATATATTATATAATATAATATATATATATTTTATAATATTATAATAATATATATAATAAATATATATAAAAATTTTAATTAATATATAAATATATATAATATAAATATATATATAATATATATATATTTTATATATAATATATATATATATATATTATATATATAATTTTAATAAATTTTAATATATATATATTTTATATTATAATATATATATATAAATATATATATATATATTATATATATATATATATATATTTTATATATAATATATATATATATATAAATATAATATATATTTTATATAAATATATATATAAATTATAAATTATAAATATTTTAATATAATTATATATATAAAATAATATATTAATGTATATATAAATAATAATATAATTAATAAAAAAATATATATATAATAATATTATTTTATATATATAATTTAAATATTATATTATATATATATAAAATAAATAATATTATATTATATAATAATATAATTATAAAAATATATAAAATAAAAAATATTATAAATATATGAAAAAATATATATTAAAATAAAAAAATATAAAAAATAATTATATATTAATATAATAAAAAAAAAAAAAAAAATATATATATAATTAAAAAATATATATATAATATATATATATTATATATATATGAATATAAATAAATTTTTATATATATATAAAAAATATATAAATATATATATATTAAAAATATATATATAATATATTATATATATAAATTATATATATATAAAATAAAATATATATATATATATATATATTTAAAACAGAACTTAATTTTAAATAAAATAAATATATATATAAAATAAAATATTAATTATAAATAAATTAAAAATAATATTAAATAAAAAAAAATATATATAAATTATTATATATATATAATATATATTAAATATTAAAAATATATATATATATATATATATTATAATAAATATATATATAATAAATAATATACTAATATATAAATTTCTCAAATAAAAAAAATTTCAATAACCCTTTTACAAAACTAAACAACCTTTTCAAGAACAATTTTTAAAAGTCTTGTAATGCAATTACATTTCGAACACAAAACAAAAAAACACAACACACACAAAAATTGAATGATTTTAAATTTTATAATAAATATATAAATATATAAAATAATATTTTATAAAAATAAATCCTTATATATAATAATATATATATAACCCAATAAAAACTTCAAATTTAAAAAAATTCATTAAACAATTAATGAAAATTTTTATTATAATTTAAAAAAATTTTCAAAAAAAAAAAAATCAAATTGAAATTTAATATTAAAAAAAACACAAACAAAAATTATATTAGATATATAATAATAAATATATATTAAAAATAATATATTTTTTAAAAATTTTATTAATATAATAAAATTATAAAAAATATAATAAATAATATATATTAAAAATAAAATAAAATTTAAAAATTAATATATAATATATTATTATATAATTTAAATATTAAATATAATAATAAACAAAATATATTATAATAAAATATTAAATATATAAATATATATAATAATATATTAAAAATAATTATTAAAAATATTATATTATAAATATAAATTTATATAAAAATATAATATAAATTATATATAAAAATAATAACTTTAATTAAAACTATAGTATTCTATATATATTTATTTTATTTAATTTTAAATGAGGTCCCGAGAAATGATAATAATATAAAATATATTTTTTTAATGAAAATAAAATTATATTTTTAAATATTTTTCTTAAAGTTTTCGTTCCATCAGTAGTGTGAATTATTAATATATTTAATATATATGTTATTAAAAAATTTTATATAATTTATAAATATTTTTTTATTTAAAATTATAAAAATTATGTCAGTGAATTACACGAACTTTCTATCTGATGTAATACAACGTTATCTTCCAAAGAACGTTTTAAAATTTGTATAAAAAATCGCCAATAATCAACTGGTGGAAATAATGTGATTTACTGGGTTTGAATTACGTATATTTAAAACAAAAAAATAAAAACTATTTTTTTTTCCCCACAATAACCATCTAACCAAACCCCATACTAACAATCCCCACAATAAACCTCTAACCTCGCCCTATAACAAAGCATTATTAATAATGAGTTTACTAAGGGAAAATTTTGTTTTTCTTGTTAAAGGTGTTGAATTTAGAATTTACTGAAGCGTGAGGTTAGAGTCAACAGTTGTGTCTCTCATTTGACTGCTTACCAATGTTTGAAAAGATATAATATAATCTTTATCTTTAAACAAACGCTCTGTTTATCAATCTGAAAGTATCTACAATCCCAAATAAGACGTTTTCCCTTACATAATAATACTATAATTTTATTTAAAAATTTTATTGACAAAATTTCGCATGTTCTGTTGATATTTCCATTGCCAGAAAAGTTATTGGAACTATCAGCTGTCAACAAGGACTGTTGTTCTCGATTTTGCAAACGAAAATTCACTCATATCTTCGATGTAGCCTTAGGAAATCGTATCCGCTTTATTATTATATGAAATGAAACTATAACGGGGATGTGGTTAGGTGTATATAATAGGGTGACAGGGAGCCATGAAGCGTAACCGGGGGGTCATAATGGGGCAGCATGAAGCAGGGAGGGCGATCCTCGGGTGCACTGGAGCAGAACAACTCACTTGGTGTGGCTTCCACTCCTTACTCACCAACACGTAGTCTCATTTATACACACTACTACAAACTTCAAGTTACGCCCTGTGTACTGCCGGTAGGCCTTCAGGTATTCCTGGAGTGTGTTGGTGGGAGCGGTGGGAAAGTTTTACTCGGTGTGCTAGGGTCAAGCATCTAGGGAAGGAGGAATATTTAATATTGTGGTCAGTGTGTTGTGGGATTTAGGTGTAGGCAGTGAGCATGTCCAGAGTGTCCATCTTGAAGGTCTGCTGGTCCTGTCTGGTGTCCATCTTGAAACTCTGCTGCCTACCAGTCTCCTGCTCCTCTCTGCTATCTGCCTCGAGACTCCTATTTTTAATCATTGTTTCATTATATCTGGGTTATCCTAGGTAAACTCTTCATAATTTATTACTAATGTATGCCTATAATAATCATGTGCTTAATGTAACAATTTTAGAAATTTTTGTTTTTATAGCTCTATGTTTAACCTAGATGTAGCTTATCTAATCTTATCTTCCAACATTACTGATATACTCAAAGTTGTGCTGTGTAATTTGAAGGACTTGGCTTAACTTCTCTGCATTTTTAAGTGTTCATTACAAATTTCATAGACTTATAGTAGAACTTACAAATATATAGATGTGTGAACAGAGCCAGGGTTGATCTTTCCCAGAACTTTTAATCCTCGCCTTAGGCCCATTTCAGGTGAAGATTATTTTAATTCTTTTTAATTGCAAATTATTTTGAAGGATGATAAAAACCTTAATACATTTATTTCAGTAAAATAAATGATAAAATATATTTTCAGCTTAAGCAAGTGGTTCTTTTAGGAAGGTCTTGAAGGTAAACTGCATTTATAAAGAAAAAATCTAATATTATTTATAAAACAGTATTTTCTTCAGAAATTTGGGTTGTATATAAATGAACTTTCAAGTCAACTATATATAACTTCATATTTGATGTATATAAATGAACTTTCAAGTCATCTATATACAACTTCATATTTGATGTAAGGTGGAAACCTGCAAGTGAAGAGCTCTGTTCCACAAGGCACAGTACTCGCCCCCATCTTATTCCTCATCCTCATATCAGACATAGACAGAGATATACATCACAGCACCATATCATCCTTTGCGGATGATACTAGGATCTGCATGAGGCTGTCATCTGCTGAGGATGCGGTTAACCTCCAAGAAGATATAAACAAAGTTTCCAGTGGGCAACGGTAAACAATATGATGTTCAATGAGGACAAATTCCAACTACTCCGTTATGGAAAACTGGAGGAGATAATAACTAGAACAGAGTATACTACAGACTCTGGTCATACAATACAGCGGAAAAATAATGTAAGGGACCTGGGAGTAGTAATGTCTGAGGATCTCACTTTCAAGGATCACAACAGTGCCACGATCGCACGTGCAAAGAAAATGATAGGATGGATAATGAGAACATTCAAAACGAGAGATGCCAAGCCCATGATGATCCTTTTCAAATCACTTGTTCTCTCTAGGCTGGAATACTGCTGTACATTAACATCTCCATTCAAAGCAGGTGAAATCGCAGATCTAGAGAGTGTACAGAGATCCTTTACTGCACGTATAAGTTCTGTCAAGCACCTTAACTACTGGGAACGCTTGGAAGCACTTGACTTGTACTCGTTGGAACGCAGGAGGGAGAGATACGTATATCATAATCTACACTTGGAAAATCCTGGAAGGAATGGTCCCAAATCTGCACACAGAAATCACTCCCTACGAAAGTAAAAGACTGGGCAGGGGATGCAAAATGCCTCCAATAAAAAGTAGGGGCACCATTGGTACACTATGGGAAAATGCCATAAGTGTCTGGGGCCCAAGACTGTTCAACAGCCTCCCATCAAGCATTAGGGGAATTGCCAATAAACCCCTGGCTGCCTTCAAGAGAGAGCTGGACAGATACCTAAAGTCAGTGCTGGATCAGCCAGGCTGTGGCTCGTATGTTGGACTGCGTGTGGCCAGCAGTAACAGCCTAGTTGATCAGGCCCTGATCCACCGGGAGGCCTGGTCATGGACTGGGCCGCGGGGGCGTTGATCCCCGGAATAACCTCCAGGTAATCTCCAGGTAACCAGGTAAGTGGGTGGTAAATATTTTGAAACTTATAAATTGCATCTAGAGAAAAGTAATTAATTATTAATAAAATAAAAATTCCATAGGAACTGTTTATTTAAAGCAGTCAGATTTTTTATTAGAAATTAAAAAAAATGTGCCATCATTTTTAGTATTATATAGTCTTTAGTTTCTTAGATATTAGCTAGTTATTTTTATAGTACAGTATATAATTTAAGATACCCACAAGTACAATACAATCTTCCTTATATTGTAAATGCTCATTTTTCGGACATCTTTTCAACAGAAACTTTCAAGATGAGTTCCGACACTTTGACCTTGCCAACAGATGTAGAGGTTCATGAGAGTATCACCAACATTGCTATTTGGCTTGAAACTCACAGTCATGCTGGACCTCAGTGAGTATACAGTACCATGTTCCATAATACTGTAAAATACTTTTATGTATTCTTACTGTAGGTTTTACTCAAGGAAGGAAATTTGATTATCATTGGGCTAATTAAATACTGTGCTGTATAAATTTTTTTTTTTTTTTAACAAGTCGGCCGTCTCCCACCGAGGCAGGGTGACCCAAAAAGAAAGAAAATCCCAAAAAGAAAATACTTTCATCATCATTCAACACTTTTGCCTCACTCACACATAATCACTGTTTTTGCAGAGGTGCTCAGAATACAGCAGTTTAGAAGCATATATGTATAAAGATACACAACATATCCCTCCAAACTGCCAATATCCCAAACCCCTCCTTTAAAGTGCAGGCATTGTACTTCCCATTTCCAGGACTCAAGTCCGGCTATATAAAAATAACTGGATATAAAAATAACCAGTTTCCCTGAATCCCTTCACTAAATATTACCCTGCTCACACTCCAACTGCTCGTCAGGTCCCAAATACCATTCGTCTCCATTCACTCCTATCTAACACACTCAAACACGCTGGAAGTCCAAGCCCCTCGCCCACAAAACCTCCTTTACCCCCTCCCTCCAACCTTTTCAAGGATGACCCCTATCCCGCCTTCCCCTACAGATTTATACATTCTCCATGTCATTCTACTTTGATCCATTCTCTCTAAATGACCAAACCACCTCAACAACCTCTCTTCAGCTCTCTGACTTATACTTTTATTAACTCCACAACTTCTCCTAATTTCCACACTCCTAATTTTCTGCATAATATTTACACCACACATTGCCCTTAGACAGGACATCTCCACTGCCTCCAACTGCCTCCTTACTGCAGCATTTACAACCCAAGCTTCACACCCATATAAGAGTGTTGATGCTACTATACTTTCATACATTCCCTTCTTTGCCTCCATAGATAACATTTTTTTTGTCTCCACATATACCTCAATGTATCACTCGCCTTTTTTCCTTCATCAATTCTATGATTAACCTCATCCTTCATAAATCCATCCGCTGACACGTCAACTCCCAAGTATCTGAAAACATTCACTTCTTCCATACTCCTCCTCCCCAATTTGATATCCAATTTTTCTTTATCTAAATCATTTGATACCCTCATCACCCTACTCTTTCCTATGTTCACTTTCAACTTTCTACCTTCACACACACTCCCAAATTCATCCACTAACTTTTGCAATTTTTCTTTAGAATCTCCCATAAGCACAGTATCATCAGCAAAAAGTAACTGTGTCAATTCCCATTTTGTATTTGATTCCCCATAATTTAATCCCACCCCTCTCCCAAACACCGTAGCATTTACTTCTTGTACATCCCCATCTATAAATATATTAAACAACCATGCTGACATTACACATCCCTGTCTAAGACCTACTTTTACCAGGAAGTAGTCTCACTCTCTTCTGCACACACTAACCTGGGCCTCACTATCCTCATAAAAACTCTTTACAGCATTTAGTAACTTACCACCTATTCCATATAGTATGTACTTGCAACATCTGCCACATTGCTTCCCTATCCACTCTATCATATGCCTTTTCTAAATCCATAAATGCAATAAAAACTTCCCTACCTTTATCTAAATACTATTCACATATATGCTTCAATGTAAACACTTGATCTACACATCCCCTACCCACTCTTAAACCTCCTTGCTCATCCGCAATCCTACATTCTGTCTTACCTCTAATTCTTTTAGTAATAACCCTGCTGTACACTTTTCCTGGTATACTCAGTAAACTTATTCCTCTATAATTTTTACAGTCTCTTTTGTACCCCTTCCCTTTATATAAAGGGACTATACATGCTCTCCACCAATCCCTAGGTACCTTCCCCTCTTTTATACATATATTTAAACAAAAATACCAACCACTCCAACACTATATCTCCCCCTGCTTTTAACACATCTGTCATGATCCCGTCAGTTCTGGCTGCTTTACCCCCTTTCCTTCTACGTAATGCCTCATGCACCTTCCCCATACTCACATCCTGCTCTTCTTCACTCCTAAAAGATGGTGTACCTCCCTGTCCAGTGCATGAAATTACCGCCTCCCTCTCTTCATCGACATTTAAAAGTTTCCTCTAAATTCTAAATATTCTCACCATCTACCCAATACCTCCATCTCCCCATCTACTAACTCCCCTGCTCTGTTTTTAACTGACAAATCTATTTGTTCCCTTGGCTTTCTTAACTTGTTTAACTCGCTCCAAAATTTTTTCTTATTTTCATTAAAATTTCTTGACAGTGCCTCTCCCACTATCATCTGCTCTCCTTTTGCACTCTCTCACCACCCTCTTCACCTTTCTTTTACTCTCCATATTCTCTACTCTTCTTATAAACACTTCTGCTTTGTAAAAACCTCTCATAAGCTACTTTTTTCACTTTTATCACACCCTTTACTTCATCATTCCACCAATCACTCCTCTTTCCTCCTGCACCCACCCTCCTATAACCAGAAACTTCTGTCCCACATTCTAATACTGTATTTTTAAAACTATTCCAACCCTCTTCAACCCCCTCATTACTCATACATGCACCAGCCCACCTTTCTGCCAATAGTTGCATATTTCTCACCCGAACTTCCTCCTCCCTTATTTTATACACTTTCACCTCCCTTTTACGTGTTGTTGCCATTTTCCTCTTGTCCCATCTACCTCTTACACTAACTGTAGCTACAACTAAATAATGATCCGATATATCAGTTGCCTCTTTATAAACGTGTACATCCTGGAGCCTACCCATCAACCTTTTATCCACCAATACATAATCTAACAAACTACTTTCATTACGTGCTACATCATACCTTGTATATTTATTTATCCTCTTTTTCATAAAATATGTATTGCTTATTACCAGACCTCCTTCTACACATAGCTCAATTAAAGGCTCCCCATTTTATTTACCCCTGGCACCCCAAATTTACCTACTACTCCCTCCATAACATTTTTACCCACTTTAGTATTGAAATCCACAACCACAAGTACTCTCACACTTGGTTCAAAACTCCCCATGCATTCACTCATCATTTCCCAAAACCTCTCTCTCTCTCTCCTCTACACTTCTCTCTTCTCCAGGTGCATATATGCTTACTATAACCCACTTTTCACATCCAACCTTTATTTTACTCCACATAATTCTTGAATTAATACATTTATAGTCCTTCTTTTCCTGCCATAGCTTATCCTTCAACATTGTTGCTACTCCTTCTTTAGCTCTAACTCTGTTTGAAACCCTTGACCTAATCCCATTTATTCCTCTCCACTGAAACTCTCCCACCCGCTTCAGCTTTGTTTCACTTAAAGCCAGGACATCAGCTTCTTCTCATTCATAACATCCACAATCATCTCTTTCTTATCATTCGCACAACATCCACGCACATTTAGACATCCCACTTAGACAATTTTCTTCTTCTTATTCTATTTAGTAATTATTACAGGAAAAGGGGTTACTAGCCCATTGTTCCCGGCATTTTAGTTGACTTTTACAACACGCATGGCTTACAGAGGAAAGATTCTTATTCCACTTCCCCATGGATATAAAAGGAAAAGTAATAAGAACAAGAACTATTAAGATAAAATCAAAGAAAGCTCAGATGAGTGTGTATAAATAAACGTGTATATGTATGTGTAGTGTGACCTAAGTGTAAGTAAAAGTAGCAAGACATACCTGTAATCTTGCATATTTATGAGACAGACAAAAGACACCAGCAATCCTACCATCATGTAAAACAATTGCAGGCTTTCGTTTTACACTTACTTGGCAGGATGGTAGTACCTCCCTGGGTGGTTGCTGTCTACCAACCTACTACTATGAAAATGAAAATATTGTTATTATTTGTTATCCAATTTTATTCCTCTAGTGACTTTAGTTTCATATCTTTAGGGTTGTTTTGAATAGTCTGTGGGAATGAAAAACACTATATTATGTTATTTTTTTGTATTTGAATTTTCCTGTCAAAGGAGGTTTCTTGATGCTAGTGAGAGGCTCTTGGTCTAAGGAATTGGACTTGTCCTTTCCTCCTTGGCTCAAATCTCTCTCTCCTCTGCTACAGCATGGCTGTGAGAGTAGTGCATCACTTGTGCAATTAGTGGTTGGAGGATTGAGGCTTCAGCACTCAGTGTTTTAAATGACTTACATGGGTTTAATGCCTGATAAAAGGACAGTAGACCATTATATTACAAAAATTTATTTGCCATGTTTTGTTTATTGCATGATTGAAAAATTGCGGTGCAGTTTTATACAACACTTCATAAAATTAACTCTACACAGTTTTGTTTGCGGGCGCAGAAAAAATTTCCCCAGCTCAAGCTGCCGCCTTGTTGTGGGTCAGCGGGGAGATCTCCCGTCATCCCCTGCCTCCCTGACTGACTTGATTGATTTACTGACAGACTGACTTGACTGATTTACTGACTGACTTGACTGATTTACTGACTGACTGACTTGACTGATTTACTGACTGACTTTGACTGACTGACTGACTTTGACTGACTGACTGACTGACTGACTGACTGACTTTGACTGACTGACTGACTTTGACTGACTGACTTTGACTGACTGACTTTGACTGACTGACTTTGACTGACTGACTTTGACTGACTGACTTTGACTGACTGACTTTGACTGACTGACTTTGACTGACTGACTTTGACTAACTGACTTTGACTGACTGTCTTTGACTGACTGACTTTGACTGACTGACTTTGACTGACTGACTTTGACTTACTGACTTTGACTGACTGACTTTGACTGACTTTGACTGACTGACTTTGACTAACTGACTTTGACTGACTGACAGACAGACAGACAGACAGACAGACAGACAGACAGACAGACAGACATGACTGATTTACTGACTGACTTAAAGTTAGACTTTTACACTGACGAGGACCCTGAAACGGTGTCTGGAGCAGCTGATGCCTTACTGTCAGTTATATAATGTACTGCGGGATAAAATAGAACAGAAATCCATTACAGAATTTATGCACACTCCATTACAACCATTGACTTCAGTAACAGAACCTCTACCATCCACCTCAGCCCAGTAGGACCACAACATAACTCTCCACTCTCTTCACAGTAATCCACAAATACCAGCTCCCACAATTTAAGGTAAGAAATACTATTATTTCCATTGTATTTGTAGTCTTAAGCGGTAAAAACAACATAATACATCATGACACTTAAGAATTGATTGCAAGGCACCTCGGATCACTCGAGCATGTATAGCCATTCAACTACGTTGAGCGGCTACATCATGACATTGAACTGCAATTACATATTCACTTTTATTTTCATAAGATCTGGAGGTCTAAAAAAAAGTTGTTTGGCTTTATTGGGGCTCCCAGGAACGTAACCCTATTTTTTCCTTAAGTTCTTCAGTTTATCTGACACGGATTTACCTAACACGGCATTTTCAGGAACGTAACTGCTGTGTAATGTAACGGTCTACTGTACAGTATTTAAAAATTGTATGACCCCTACATATAATACAGTAATTACAGTATTTTAATTTCTTAAGTGATTTTAAATATGTAACCTCTGGGGCTATTTTAAATACTGTACAAAAATGAACAGTATTGCTGCTGTTTTGTTTCTTTATAATTCCTAAAATAATTTATCTTATTATCTCTAGGGCTGTTTTAAATGTATCAGAATGATTCATTTTGCTGCTACATATTTCTTTTTTTTTAATTGAGTGGAACAGTGTATGTTTGATACACAATTAATTTCTTGTAATTTAATCATTTGCACACAGGCAAACCCCAGAAGAAATTACATCAGAAGATTTAGCTGTAGCAGTGCCAGGAGAGTGCCTCTTTCCAGAGCTGTGTACAGAAAATGAGGAAGCATCACACGAAGAAGAGAAGGGAATCCTCGTGTACACAGACAGTAATGAAGGTATGGACTGTGCTGATTTATGTTAGTTTATACTTTACTGTTGATCATCTCCTTTCCTATTTGCAAGAATATGCGATGCAGAGACTTGTTATTAATAACTATAGGCTTACTGCCCAGAGGATAACCTTTCAATCTTATTTTTACTGAAAGTACAGTATTCTTAGCTCATTTTTCATATATTCAGTGTTATGATTTCTGCTTGCATCAAGGAAGTACAGTATGTATTTGTAACCAGTGTATTTGGATGTGTTCTAATTCATGAAGAAAGTTTTGTCAGTTTTCTTGCCATTCAAATAAAACATCAAAAATATATAACTAACTGCTGGGTGAACAGACATGATATCATGTCTGTTCACCCAGCAGTGTTATTTTAATTTGGTCTTGGTCACCAGTAAATAAATGCAGAATTTTCATTCTTTGATAGCAGAGTGTTCAGCATTCTCTACCCCATCATTATTCTTTTAATTGAGCTATTATTATTAATTAACAGAAAAAATATTTCTAAACTTAAATATCACAAAAAGGTTGTGGCTTGTTTCAGTATAAGAATTTTTATGTAAGTCATTATATATATTATGCTTCTCAACTATAGAAAATTGTGCAGCGAACATATGCTATGCATTCTGTATATTGTCCTGCTGAGTAGAACAAAATTGGGGCTTACAAATGTTGTGCAGTTTTTGCTATTAACCCTTTGACTGTCGAAACCCCAAATCCTGAGGTGATTCCTGGTGTTTACCTGGAGTTTACCTGGAGAGAGTTCCGGGGGTCAACGCCCCCGCGGCCCGGTCTGTGACCAGGCCTCCTGGTGGATCAGAGCCTGATCACCCAGGCTGTTGCTGCTGGCTGCACGCAAACCAACGTACGAGCCACAGCCCGGCTGATCAGGAACTGACTTTAGGTGCTTGTCCAGTGCCAGCTTGAAGACTGCCAGGGGTCTGTTGGTAATCCCCCTTATGTGTGCTGGGAGGCAGTTGAACAGCCCTCGGGCCCCTGACACTTATTGTATGGTCTCTTAACGTGCTATGACACCCCTGCTTTTCATTGGGGGATGAAGCATCGTCTGCCAAGTCTTTTGCTTTCGTAGTGAGTGATTTTCGTGTGCAAGTTCGGTACTAGTCCCTCTAGGAAATTTTCCAGGTGTATATAATCATGTATCCTCCCTCCTGCATTCCAGGGAATACGGGTTTAGGAACCTCAAGCGCTCCCAATAATTGAGGGTTTTATCTCCCCTTATGCGTGCCGTAAAGTTCTCTGTACATTTTTCTAAAGGGCGGCAATTTTTACCCGCCTTGAAAGTGCTGTTAGTGTGCAGCAATATTTCCCGCCTAGATAGAACCAGTGACTGAAGAGTGTCATCAGGCTTGCCTCCCAGTTTTGAAGGTTCTCATTTTCATCCGTCATTTTCTAGCAGATGCATGATACAATGTTATGGTCCTTGAAGGTGAGATCCTCCGCATGATCACTCCCAGGTCTTTTACTTTGGGGTTTCGCTCTATTTTTGGCCAAATTTTTTTTGTACTTTTGATGAAGATTTAATTTCCTCTGTTACCATCTGAGTAATTGAAATTCTCATCGTTTAACTTCAATGTTTCACGCCACGAAAGATTTGGTTGATGTCCGCCTGAGCTTTGCAGTGTCGCAATGGAACACACTGCAGGGGAGATCGGGTGTCATCTGCAAGGAAACACGGTGCGGGCTGACATCCTGTCCTGTCGGATAGAGGATGAGGAACAAGATGGAGCAACTACGTGCCTTGTGGAACGATTTCACCGAGCGCCTCGGCATTAACTCTGTTGACGACTACCTCTGGTTTTGTTAGGAGGAAAATTTAAAATCCCTCGACGCTTTCCTGTTATCCTTAGCACGCATTTTGTGCGCTATACGCATGGTCACACTTGTCGAAGGCTTTTGCAAGTCTGTATATATTACATCTGCATTCTTTTTTGTCTTCTAGTGCATTTAGGACCTTGTCGTAGTGATCCAATAGTTGAGACAGACAGGAGCGACCTGTTCTAAACCCATGTTGCCCTGGGTTGTGTAACTGATGGGTTTCTAGATGGGTGGTGATCTTGCTTCTTAGGACCCTTTCGAAGATTTTTATGATATGGGATGTTAGTGCTATTGGTCTGTAGTTCTTTGCTGTTGCTTTACTGCCCCCTTTGTGGAGTGGGGCTATGTCTGTTGTTTTTAGTAACTGTGGGACGACCCTCGTGTCCATGCTCCCTCTCCATAGGATGGAAAAGGCTCGTGATAGGGGCTTCTTGCAGTTCTTGATGAACAGAGAGTTCCATGAGTCTGGCCCTGGGGCAATATTTGAAAAAAAAAGAATTATTTTTTCTTATGAAATGATAGAGAATCTTTTCCTGATGGTAATGGCACCAAAAGTACGAAATTTGATGGAAAACTTACGGAATTACACTCTCACGAAGTTAGAGACCTCAGCGATACGTATTTATGAATCGGCAATTTCGCCCACTTTGAGCTCTATTTTCGGCTAATTTCATTGTTCCAGTCGACCAAACTCATAACTATTTCTTTAGGACTCCATTTGTTCTATAGATTGAGTACAAGAAACTTCCTATTTACTGATTTCAACTACCCAATATAGTGGTTAGAAATTGGCAATTTCGCCAATTTCACACAAATTAAAAATTATGCCAATTTCAAAATAGGGTCCAGAATGAACAATGCAGACATTCCTGGCTCCAAAATAACATTTTCTTTGTTCATCGGTCACTTCTCCAGGCCCCTCTGTTATTACTCTTGCTTTCTATTTTGAATTTTTATTCAATCAAGAAATAGAAGATTTACTGTTATGCAGACAACTGCAATATTGTAATACATACTTGTATAAATAATATCAACCCATTCGTGACTGCATATTAGAATGGCTAGTTAGACATTTATTGGACAATGACATCATTTGTTTACTCTTGAACATCGGCAAAAATCAAACATTTCCCCTACTATTTCTATAATATGTTCTCCATTCTATCAAATGTGACTACAAAAATGAGAATATAACCATAAAAACTATACGAAAATACACCTCAAAGTCGGCGTTTTAATCTAATAACACGGTCAGAGTTTTTTTTTCCTCATTATGCACTGCGTGCTGCAGGATGTTTTTTATATGGTGCACACTGACCACACAGACCTATTCTCTCACATGTGGGCATACCAGCTTTCTCATGCTTGATTTGAAGCGGTAGAATTTTTGAGTATAGTATATACGTTAAACATGGTGGCTCGTAAGAGGTATACATATTGTATATACGATCGAAACAATCAAAGGGTTAAATCATTCTAACTCCATGATTCATATTCCTGGCATATTTTTTTTTTTTTCAACAAATCGGCCATTTCCCACCGAGGCAGGGTGGCTCAAAAAGAAAAACAGAAGTTTTTCTTTTTAATTTTTGTAATGTATACAGGAGAAGGGGTTACTATCCTCTTGCCCCTGGCATTTTAGTCGCTTCTTATGACACGCATGGCTTACGGAGGAAGAATTCTGTTCTACTTCCCCATGGAGATAAGAGCAAATAAACAAGAACAAGAACCAGAAAGAAAATGGCAGAAAACCCAGAGGGGTGTGTATATATATGCATGTACATGTATGTACTCACCTAGTTGTACTCACCTAGTTGAGGTTGCAGGGGTTGAGTCCAAGCTCCTGGCCCCACCTCTTCACTGGTCACTACTAGTGTGTAGTGTGACCTAAGTGTAAGTAGAAGTAGCAAGATGTACCTCAAATCTTGCATGCTTATGAGACAGAAAAAAGGACACCAGCAATCCTACCATCGTGTAAAACAAGTACTCTCACTTGGCAGGATGGTAGTAGTACCTCCCTGGGCAGTTGCTGTCTACCAACCTACTACCTAGATTCCTGGCATATATTTTTATTTTTAATTTTTATTTCTTTTCATGTTCATTTCATATGTTCAGTATTTATAGTATGGTGGATTTTCTCAACAGACAAGTACATCTGGTTGAAAGGTGACTGGCATCCATTAGAGAGAGTTTTGAGCATTAATTCACCAAACAGTGGATGGGTTCGAGTGAGTAAATAAGCATTTGCAAATTATTTCATTTATGACTTAAGTTTCAGAGCTTTATTTTGTTGTTAATATTGAATGTTATTGGCACAAAACTATTGCATGAATATTAGAGAACACTTCTATGGAATAATTATTGAATGAGACTTTGAAACTTAAAAATCAATTGTGGGTATTGAACATTAGTGGCAAAAGTGCCTGTTGTGTCAGACTTCCTGCCTGGGTGAGCGGCTGCTGGTGCTTGTGCTGACACAGCTGGACTATGCTGCTCGTGAGGCTGAGGCTGAAGTGCCCTATGGCTGCTGTCCCCTGACTGATCCCACGTACCTCCTCTGGCATCTGCACCGCCCAGCTGGCATGTGCTCGCTCAAACGCAAGGGTCAGTGCTATGCTTACATCTCATTCCTTTCTCTATTCTGCAGTTTCAACATTATTGTCATGGAGGTCGGTGATCTGCATGAACTTCTTTTTCCTAGCTCTTTTGGTTAATGTTATACAGTAATGTTTGTTTTTTCCTTGTTCCACTTACTTTCCGTGTATATACACTATTTTTATACATACTGTATACAGTAGGGCCCCATTGATATGCAGGTTAGGTTCCAGGCTACCGCCGTAAAGCGGAAATCGCCGTAAAGTGGAACACCCTTTTTTTTCCACTTATAAATGCATAGAAATACTACATAACAAGTTTACACTAACATATATTAAGTTAGCAATGGAACTAGGCATTAAAAAAATAAAAAAGTAAAATACACATATAGTACACTCATTACTTACCTTAAAATATTTGTAGTCTTAATCTAGGGTGAGATGAGTAGTATTTATTGTAAGAAATCAAGTGTGGTATGTATGGTAGCCAGCCAGGCTACCATACCAGGCCACCCCATCCACACATAATATTCTATGACATTTAAGCATTCCAGAGCGATAAAATGCATATACAGTTCACTCATTACTTACCTTCAAATATTTGTAGTCTTAATGTAGGGTCAGGGGTGAGTAAATGGGATAAAATGAATAAATGAGAGAGAGAAAGAATAAGTACATGAGAGAGGACAGGCACAGAGTTATGTAAACAAACCAGGCAAACGCAGGTTTTGTAAACAGTCTAGGTGTACACGTCTGGTTTGTGTACAAGTTACATTGCGTACAAGTTGTCTTTACATTGATGCGGTAGAATAAATAAAGAGGAACACTCCCATTTTCATGTAACACCATTTTTAGAAGAAATGAAGCTCTGAGTGAAGGCAATGGAAATAAGTCACTGTCTGACTTTTTTGGGTTATCTTAGGTACTTTACACATATGCTGGTATATATGATAAAATATGTAACTCTATTTGTGTATACCTGAATAAACTTAGTTACATATGAAAGGAATAATTTTCTGCAGTTACCCCCGGTAACACATTTTCTCTTATGTTGGACTAGAGAAAATGTTATTCATATTTCTTCTTTCTTTATTCTACTGTGGGGTGTATTTATCATCTTTATATGTTATGTATTGTGTTTATTATATAATTTTGAAAAAATATCATAGATGGATTAATGAAAATATGTATATTAATGTAATATACGACATTCAATGAGACTCGGTGATTATATTATTATTATATTACTAATATGGTGTCTCGAGACATAAGACACTCTTACTGATTTTAATGTGTACCTTCATGCCAGCACAGTGTGTAAGTTTATTTAGGTACAGGTATACCTGAGTATAATTATCAGAGTTTATATAAAATATGAAATATAACTTGAAAACACTTGAAATTTTGGAGTTTCTAGACATAATGGAGAGACTTAATGCTAAAGGATCTCACGGAGAATGTAAACAAACCGGGCAGGGCACGATGACCATATTAGAAAGTCAGGTGGGGGGAGCCGTATAGAGAGTTTTGATCATAATTTGAAATGACCGTATTAATGGTACGCCGTAAAGCAAAACTCCATAAAGTGGGGCCCTACTGTACTAGAAATAGTGTATGTATAGATTTTAAGTTATTTTTAGAATATATTGAGTAAACACAAAGACCTATACTCGTTATTTGTGAGATTATTTAATTAACTTTTAATAAACAGGTACTAGTATATGGGGTGGTGAGGATGTGTATGCATGTGACACGCTGGATACCATGTACGTTCGACCTTGTGCTCGAAGGCAGGGTCATTCGTTGGCTCTTTTAAGAACACTGGCATCAGAACTTCCTCCTGGTGATCACCTTGGTTTATCTCATCCGGTCTCTCTTAGCATGTGTAAAGGTAAGCTCTCAAAAATGCTGCCCTATTCATATCTTAAATATTGAGACAGTAATATTAGATGAGATACAGTACTGGATTTTCTTTTAAATTAGTGAAGTTACTGATAGTAATGAATTCCTTTTTACATTTTATTTTTCTCATTTGTTCTAGGATCAAATCTCTTAATGTTTGCCATCAAGAGACCCACAGATACTTATTTGGTCAAACTTTTTAAGAATATATATCTCTAAGACAAGTCAACTGGAATTTTATCAGTTTTTTCCTTTCACTCCTCCAGTTTAGGTGTGATAACCGAGCAAAAACTGTATTTACTGGTTAAGAGCTTGCATAATGTTAATTATCTTCTACAACTAAACATGCATTTTGAAGAGTATAAAATAAATCTTATTTTTCAATTTTGGATTATTTTTTCCAGTGCTGCTGAAGTTTATTCAAGTCTACCCTGAGCTGCGAGATACTCTTTGGACACTGGATGAAGATGGAGAAGTGTCTGGTACTGTGACTCTTATGCTAGGCTCACTCATGATGCGTGGTGCTCTTCATGGAGCTGGTACTCATAATGCTTCACAACCTCACCAACCCATGGAAGAAGCCCAGCAGCCCATGGAACAAACAGATCAACCCATGGAACAGACAAGTCTGCAGCAAAAGCAAGACTCTCAACAGCAGCAGGAATCAGAACCTTGTGATACCTCTTAAGGGCAAAAGCTGGAGGAGGTATAATGAGCACTCATTTTATTTATTAAAGTTCATTTGTTGTTTGTTGAAACTTCTTCAGGAAGTGTTTATAAATTTGTTTATATAAAAAATAGTTTTACAAATTTTAAATACTGTTGTTAATATATAGGATAAATAAAAAATTTAATTACTAAGCAAGATACCTGATGGAGTTGAGTGGTTAGCTTCGAAAATGAGATTACTGTGCACAAGTTCTGGTTAATAAATTTGTTTTACAGAAATAATGGAGAGAATTGTTTTTTGTGAGATTAGGATGATTTTAAGTGTGCATGTACTGTTATGTTCAAATACTGGATTAGTAATTTATGTACGATTTAGATGAACTGCTACCGTAAATGCCAGAAAAAATAGCTCATTCTTCTTTGGTCCAGTGCATTGAGTTTCCTACTTGTATGAGTTGGACTTGGATCAGAGATTGGCATCGAGAGCAGTATTCTGCATACTACACACAACATTCAGCACAAATATTTTAAGTGTACAAGACTTTGTAGTTAGGTTTGCTGACCACTATATGATGTAAAAGTTATAAATTTGCTAGAATTTGAACATATGCAATATTAATGCTAGATTGCTGTACTGTAATGGAAAGATGCAGAAGGTGCTCCATTAGACTGTCATTTATGTAACAAGCTAAACTTGTGGGTCATACAATGCAAGGACTTTAAATTCAGTAATTTTGATGCCATCCTAAAGGTTTAACATTATGTAAATGGTTAGATGATTATATCCAGACAGATATCCTGACAGTGGAATTCATAACTATAAAACTTTTAACAGGTTGGCTTCTTTCACCCATGAGAACATTGTCATGGGGAAAACAGTTTTTTTTTTCCATTGTTGATTCTTTACCTACTCAACCTTTCACTATGACTGTAGTTCTCCACTCATTATATTCTTGTTTGTTCTTTCCTGTATAAGAATATTTTTTATTCCTCATTTTTGCCTTGTTTACTTGTGGATTGCATGTTTATGCAGTTGAGTAGATCTATCCAAATGACTGGATGATTTACTTGCACATGAACAATATCTTATACTATATAAACTGTCTGCTGATTTACTTTTATTGGTGCAGTTGAAACCCACTTTAGGAAGAAATTAAATACCTCCATACTGTAATTTGGTCTAAGTTCTGAGACCGTCATAAGCAAATAGAACAGTATGGAAAGAGGAACATTTACATACTCACATGATCTTAGGTGAGCTTGGCACCGTTGACCTCACTGCCAGTTCAATGATTATAGTTAACTATTTGAGTTAGCTAGGGCTGAGCTCGGATTCTGGTTTTACCTCTTTAACTTTGAATTGACTGACGTTATTTGGCACTGTCATCACATTGACCGTCTCCCACCAAGGCCTGAAAAAGAAAAACTTTCATCATCATCATTCACTCCATCACTGTCTTGCCTGAGGCATGCTTTCACTGCAGTTATAAAACTGCAACATTAACACCCCTCCTTCAGAGTACTTCCCATCTCCAGGATTCAAGTCCGGTCTGCCAGTTTCAGTGAATCCCTTCATAAATGTTACCTTGCTCACACTCCAACAGCACGTCAAGTCCTAAAAACCATTTTTCTCCATTCACTTCTATCTAACACGCTCACGCATGCTTGCTGGAAGTCCAAGCCCCTAGCACACAAAACCTCCTTTATCCCATTCCTCTAACCTTTCCTAGGCTGATCCCTACCCTGCCTTTCCCCCACTACAGATTTATACACTCGAAGTCATTCTATTTTGTACCATCCTCTCTACATGTCTGAACC